ATAATCTTGGCGTCCGTTAGTTGAAACATGTGGTCGAACACATGCGCAGTAGAGCCAGAAGTCCTAGAATTCGGTCATGGCGGATCGCTTTATCCCAGAGGTCCTTGTTGGCTGCTCCACCGCTGGACAAGGGTAACGAGGACTCTGGGAACGAGATTGGTACTTTGTCAAAGCACGCTCAAATTCACTGTGCCACTACTAGAGCTACATGCATGTACAGTGTATGAAACAATAACTAAGGTACAGTACCTGAAAAGCCATTCCTATATTTCTGCCATATTGAAAAGCTATTTCCTGCACTGCAGGGCTGCAGTTACCAAACACAGAAACCTACATAAACAAAAGTGCATCAAATACACAGTCAATGCCTTCATGGTATCGATGATCAAAATGATCAAATTCTATTGAGTAATTTTGTTATAACTGGACATGTAAAATTATAATATTATTGTTTAAAACTGAAGGAAATCAAACTAGGGACACAAGATGGGATGTTACATAAAGCCCATCACAAGTTATAAATCTCTGGAGCATACATGCATATGTCAGGTTTCTCTAAACAATTTCCCCAGGGGGGGTACTCAGGTATAATAGTGACGGGGAGGCTCAAAGACCTTTTGGGTTTGAAATTTGCGATCTGAGGACTTTTTGGGGGTTAGAAATTTTGTGGTGACTTTTTTGGGGTGGAAGATTTTGGTAAGAACTTTTTGGGGGTTGAAAAAAGCGTAACCCAGGGTTCTCATTTTAATGCAGAGAAAAATGACTTTTGGTGGTTACGTTCTGGGCCATTGGACTTTTTGGGGGTCTGGTTTTAGCCTACAGGTAATAGGACTTTTTTTGGGTCTAACAATTTGATACAAGAGGTGATACAAGATGGCGGACGAGCGATGAGAAACAAAGTTTTAGTTTCGGATATAACCGGAGTCATAACCAAAGAATTGCACAACTAGTTGAGAATCGGAGTGGAAAAAACTTGTATCAAATGAATTTTGATCGGTAAGGTTGAATATGTCAATGGGAAACGGTTTTTTGGGTTCCGTTATTTCTCGAACACGGTAACGACATGGTACCGGAAACGATCGTTACCATGAAATCCTATGGCTTGCTATATATTTTTGGGGGTTAGAAAAAGTTGAGTACAGTTGAATCCCGCTATCTCGAACAGCAAGGAGTCTGAGATAGCCGATGATTTATTTTTTTTATAAATTATTTATTTAGCAGTAGGGGTATAAATTAAATCATGGCTTCTTTTGCAACTCGCAATCTCTTTTTTCTTGAGTACTTCACCCAGATGGGGTATTCAACTGAACACTTACTGCCTTACAACAGCACGCTATCAAACTTGCAGTCTTCTTGTACGTCTTTTCTAAGTAATGATTAAACCTCTCGTCTGGATGTTCTTTAGATCCTAGTTGCATAAATTCACCTGCACAAAAAAAACATGTCGCTGGCAATTTTTGTGCAATTTTTAGTAACAAAATAGTGCCAGGGTGTCTAATCGAAACAAAATCGAACAAAAAACCAACGAATGGTGTTTGATTGCGTTCGGTAATCGAACATAATCGAACATCTAATTTTGTGTGAGTTCGATTATCGAACAAATCAAACACAATCAAACTGAATCCGGTTCGATTTTGTTTGGACTGCATCTCTTGAAGATTGAGTTTGATTGCCGACCATTCGATAATGGAACGTTTGATCGTGTTCGATTGCAAACAAAATCTTTTTGTGAGTTTGATTATGTTCGATTGCCGAACACAATTGAACGATTGGTGTTCGATTTTGTTTGATTGCCGAACGTTCAATTAGACCACTCCGGGAATAGTGGGAAATTCAAAATTCAATACACCATACCCTACATACTGATACATGTACATGTACATTGTAAGTTTTGATTGGTATAACATATTTGAGAATATTTTTTTCAGTTGGAGATCCTCGTGGCATGTTCTTTCGGAAAAGTGTCATTGAATATAATTATCTCATGATACTAATAATAATGTTTGGGTGTCAAATATGCGACATCATTTTCCCGCCATCATTTCTTTTCATACATATCTCACATATTGACAAAACTAATCCGACGGTATATATACATGGCCTAAGCTCCCACAAGTCCTGTGTAGCTCAGCGGTAGAGTGTCCGACCAGTGCATGCAGGTCATACATGTACATGTACATGTATGTAGGTTTGACTCCTGTTGGGAGTAGCTTGTGTCACTGACTGATAAACATCTTTCCAAGGCTCGAAAAAAATTGGAATTCCAGCTTGCCCTTTGGACAAGCAACTCTCAAATTTTGCTTGCCCGGGGCACCTCCCCACTTGCCCAGGTTCTCAAACTCATTAATTATTCATGAAACAAAGAAAACAAAAATACACTGGGTTAGGCCTTCAGTTTGGCTCTCTGTTCTACCTACGTGTACTGTAATGTGTTTTGGTTTAATTGACTTCCAAAGTTACAAACTGGTTTGCAGGGTTGCCCCTAAGAAAAATGTCTGTGCTTGTGCCTCTCACCAGAGACACAATCTATCGGCATACATGACGTATTCAATGGTTTGCACGGCTTGCAATGCATTATGGGGCGATTTTAAAACATGGCCGCTTGTGGAGCCGAAAGAATCCTGCCTCGTCCCCAGTCGCTCGCGGGGATAATTTAGAACGGGCGCGCGGGAACGATCACAAACATCATCCCCCGCTCCCGCGCTTCGCGCTCGTTCCAAGCTCCCTCGCGCCTCGCGCTCGCCCGGTTTAATCGCGCTTCGCGCTCTCGCGAAAAGCCTGTGGAGGAGGCAGGAAAAGAATCTTTGTTGACGTGTTTTTGGCCTATATTTCTCTTAATGAAAGCAAAACAAGACCAGATAAATTGTTTTTTAACTTTAATTTATTCTGTGACTGATTTTATGGCAAAGTTAGAACTGAAAAAGCAGGTTTCCAGCGAACGGTAAGTTTATCGCGAGCACAGTTGTTTGTAGGCGTCTCCTATTTCAGCCTATTTCCTTGTAATTTTCGTCAAGCTTCATCTAAAACCCTTGATTACCCGACCAAATGTGCTTAAAATTTACTGTTTTGTTTCACAAAATCGTCATTTTAACAATGTAGTTGCAGAAGGCTTGCCTGGGCCTTGCCCGTCGGGCAAGTGAGCAGAGAAAGTTACTTGCCCGACAGGAAAAATCTACTTGCCCTGGACGACCGGACGGGGGTTTTGTCGAGCCCTGTCTTTCTCATTATTTTATTTACCTTTTACTAAGTCATCTACAACTTTGGCTAGTAATTCTACAACCTCACTGTTTCCAAGCTTCGCCAGAGCTTGGGAAGCGCGTGAGAGGATGTAGTCTCCAGCCAAAACGGACATCTTTTCTCCATACATTTTGTTGATGGAGATTTTTCCCCGTCTTGTATCTGCACCATCGATGACATCATCATGGACCAAGCTAGCTGTGTGAATCATCTCTGATACCATAACTACAGTTTCTTGAGATGGAAGGATAGTTCTGTGTGTAGGGAAAAAAATACAGTCGACCCTCCCGTAAGTGGACACCCTCGGGACCAGAAAAAGTGTCCGCTTAAGAGAGGTGTCCACTTATGGGAGGTTAAAAATACAGTGTTTGTATGTAGCTGGGAACATGCCCAAGTGTCCGCTTGTGAGAGGTGTCAGCCTACGGGAGGTATCCGTTAGCGGAGGTTTAACCTGCGATCAGGCCCTCCTCGAAGAGAGGAGGGCCTGATACAATTACTTGCCAGATCTCATGTACAACATTCAGATTCTGAATGTTTTCCTGATTGGTCGAAAAACAATACTTCCGTCAATCATGCGTACCTAATATGGCTTTTGTCAATCCGGCGTGCACGCTCGATTAAAGTACAAGAAAGGCCTTCTACTTTCCCACTCCGCTACCGCCTTTTGCGAAGGGAAGGACTCTTCTGAATCATTACTAAGCCAATATAAAGATCTTACATTTAAAACGGCTGAAGCTTTCCGCTTAAAAAATGGTTATTTGATTCAAATTTCTAAACGGAATCATGGAATCATTCGACCATAACGACTGACTAGACATGTCTAGGACGTTATTATGCAAATTTGTGTCGTGTAACGCAATCGTAGTCAGTGCTGTTTTCGGAATGAAATTGATGGCAAAAACACAGTCGAAGGCTCTATTCTACTTCAAAATGCTCCTCATAATACAACATATCTTGCCCGTTAGAAATGCACTTGAAGCAAAGAAGGTCAGAAGACTGAATTCAAGAGAACGGCAAGTGTACAAATGTCACGAACTGTAACGTAGATTTTGAAAATTGACAGCTTGACAGATCATTGACAAGTGGGTGGAAAGCGAATCGGCAAATAATTGTATCAGGCGTTTCCTTTTCCTCTCTCTCTCTCTCCGCGCTCTCGTTCTCCGTGAAAAGAAAGAAAGGAAAAGAACGCCTGATCGCAGGTTAGCGGAGGTTTGACTGTAGTGTAAAAAGCCACCTTCAAGCCAAACTGGCCCACACTGCCAGTGAGAGCTTTTCACAGTTTCTGTAGCATGAAGTAAACAAAAAGTATTCAGGCCTACTCCCTTTGGATGGGATGCTAGTGCAGCGTGGGTTACCCCCAGCATTTTGTCACCTGTACCCATTTATACTCCTGGGTGGAGAGAGGTACTGCGAGAGTTAAGTGCCTTGCCCAAGAACACAACAATGCAGGGCTGCAAATATTTTTTTTCTTCTTGAAAGGACATATGTCCGACTAAGTCACCATTTTGGTCGGACAAAACAAAAATGAAGTCAGACATCATATTATAGTACTGCTTGATAAGTGAACCTGCTAATCTAACGTGTTGTCAATGCAGTGTAAACTAGTTTGTGTTTAGAAAAAAATGCGCTATGACGCATTAATTACCATTGGAAGGCAAAAAATGATCTGGACATTATGTCCGACCACTGTTGGGATTTCATCGGACATTGGCAAATTTGGTCGGCCATTGTCCGATGACCGACTGTTATTTGCAGCCCTGCAATGACACTGGTCAGTGCTCGAACCCGGACAGCTCAATCTGGAGTCCAATGCCCTTACCATCAGGCCACTGCGTCTCTCTACTGTTTGTTTTAATTATTGTTTTAAATTAGTGTGGTTGGGCCAATAGGCTTACAGACAGACTAACCTTGTATCTGAAGTATGAGAGTTGCATGCCCCTGCCGCAAGCAATACAATCATCGGCCTGATGTACTTCCCTTGACCATCAAAGTAAGTAATGGCTTACTTCTCTAAGAGGTGTGATGGATGAGTTCAGTTCCTATAAGACAACAGGAAATCATAGTTTATGAAAGTCGTTTTCCTTTTCTTGACACAAAATGTATTGTTTACCTTCTTTATTGTTTCACAGAGATGTGATAAAATGTGGTTTTGTTAATGCCTGTGGATCGGTTTGCGTTTTCTCAATATGAGAACTAGTTGAACAATATCTGCTAAAAAAGAAAGTAAAATGGTTTCAGCCATCCACATGACTGTACATACATGTACACAACATAAAAAATAATATATAATTTAACTAAATGTATTACACCTTTTAGCATCTACTTTGCAAAAATCTTCTGGGAAAAGCACACAGACTTCCTGGGAGATGGAGAGGGCAGCATCCCCCTTTCTCTTGCAGACCTGCTGGAGAGTGCAGTACCCCCTTTCTCCTCCGCAGTCTTCTCTAGTATTCACTCCAAGCACACTTGGAGTTGGGGGGATTGGGGAAAGGGGAATAATATAGTAAAGCCAGGGATGTTTGGGGAGAGAGAAATATAAACAGTGCAGTGGATGACTGGAAGAGAGAATAAGAGAAGCCTTTCCTGTCTTTCCCCCCTCCCCATCACCCCCCCCCCCCTCCCCTGCTCGTGCCCTCTTTTACCCATCAATCTCTCCCTTTGGGGGGGTCTCTGTGAGGACTCAGAGGCAGCAACCGCTCCACCCCTCTCCATGATGCCTTTACTCGACTAGTTTTCAGTGTTAACCACTTACTCTCAAATATTTTCAAGCCCCTAAATACTTCGCGTACACATTTATTTTTGTTCACATCGGTGTGATGTAACACTGCAGCTGTTGCGCTGCATAAATATATGGAGGGCGACCCTTAATTTCCTTGACCGACTCAACAACGTCACTCAGATAAACCACACACATCCACGGAAAACTCACTTACCTACAACAATACCGAAATAAACTCCTGCTCCACGTTCGTGATGAATTGTGAGCGCTTCTCGATGTTGAGCAAGAAAGCCAAGAAATGGTCGAGATCGCGAGTGATGGAAAAGAGAAGCCGGTAAGCCATTGCTTGCCATTAAATCAGCGCTGGAAGAATAGCTGCTAGATACATGACGCCTGCAAACTACATCAAATCCTTTAACGCCACGGATGAGATTTCGGGAAGCGTAATATTTGCAAGATGGTAAACGTGCAAAAGGACATGCGAAGCTTGCTCCCGCCATCTTGGATTTTACATTTTATCGTTACCAGGATCTTTCTTTCTTGTTGCGTCCGTGTCACCGGGGTGTAAAACTGGGAACGAGTTCGCCGCTGACCAATAGGATCGAAGTATGTTTGTTGCAATGCATCATGGGATTTGTTTGAAGCGTCCATGCCTTGGCGTCGCGTCGATCGATTGTTTTGATTGTTTGTCTTGTGTTTCCCAACGGTCGCTTGTTTTGCAGTGCTCAGGTTTGCGCAGCTAATATTGGGTAAGTTCCTTCGTCCTTTCTTTGCTTCTAAAACGGCTAATGACCCCTCGATCGCTTCATTAGCTTCAAATTGAAGTCTAATCGGCGTGCGTGATTCCATGTTTCGCGCCATTTGTATGGGTGTCCCTCTGCGGTTGTTCTCGCCTCATGTCAAGCTCTACTAATTTGAAAATTGCTTGTTTGAAAAATAGCGGATTTGCACGCACAGATTCAAATCTTCCCAAATCAAAACTTCTAAAAATAATTTCATTCGTTTCAGGATTCTACGGTAGATTGTAGGAAAAGAAACAGAAAAGAACCTTTGATCAGAATGCCAGACGTAGAAGCAGCGAGTACTGCAAAGAAGCGCGGTCGTCCTGCCAAGCAACCCGCACCAGTTGCCGAAGAATCTGACGAACCAGTCGTTAAAAGAGGCAGAGGACGGCCCAAGGGTACGAAATCTGCGAAAAAGAAGCCTGCAGCCCCTAAAGCACCAGGCTCGCGAGGTCGTGGACGTCCGAAGGGTTCCACGAAGAAGAAGGTAGAAGCATCGGAAGCGAACGACAAGCCGAGTACTCCGAGGAAAAAGTCCGAAGAAATCGAGCGAGTGAGTGATCTAAGATGGAACTTTCTGCGTACTCCAAACGTTAATACAGACGTTATATCACAAAGACATGAAAACTGTTACTTGATATATCTATATACATTGGCCAGCTTGCATATATATATATGGTATTTTTTGCTGGATTATTATGATACATACGTACTACTCTAATTTGTAACACGAAACGTTTATAAGCTTAAATAACATAAGCTTGCAGACTATCTAGCGCTTTGGGAAATTCGCGCTTTGTACCGAGATTAAGAACATAAACTGCAGCTGTATGTTACGTTTTTTTTATCTAATTGAGCTCTTTTACAAACTGTTACCGGTTTGTGTATTTATTTCAACGCAAATGCGTAGTGAATGAGACTCTTGTATATCAATGAACGTATTCATTGTTGCATTGCACTCATTCTTTCGATGTTTTAGTTTAAATGTGCGTGGCGAAAGCACAGATACAATATAAATAAGCCTCGGCAAAGTTATGTTTATTACCATCCTTTTTTTATAACACATAGAGGTTCTGACTGTTGATCTTATTTTTATATTGGAAACCTGAAGATATGTGAAGAGCAATAACAACTGTTGACTCTTTGATTAGTGGAAGCTACTATGCGACTTATGAAAGCTTGTATACATTGGTTGTCTTTGTAATAAACTTGTTTACAGTTATTAATTCTTTTGTGAATTTTTTTGTATTATTTTGTGAAACTTTCGATATATCTGGAGCAAGATACATGTATACCGTTCATGTTTTGCATTTTCAATCTCATTTACTGTTGATTCTTTAGGAGGGTTCACTGTATTTGCAGGGGGCAGTAGCCTGATTCTCGGACGGTCCAGGTTGCTCTCACTCCTCCGACGAAGTGCTAGCGCTCAAAATGTCAACTTATCTAACCTTTATATCAACTTCAAGTTGATAATCAACTTAGTGTTTCATTCCTCTGCAACCCTGTCTTGAACTGACCTAACAGAGAGAGGGATGGGGTTTATGTTACAGAAGTCTGTTGTCATCCTAGTCAATGGGGGGACTCCCATTTAAAAGTGATGGGGGTGATCGTCGCAATTTGGAAAAGAACCCCTAAAAGGTACCGAAATCTGTTTTGTCGGTATAGCTCAAATTAATTTTCACCCCGAAGAAGTACCAAGACAAAACTAGTTCTTGTCATATTTTTTTCTGGCTTAATGCCCTAAAATTTTAGATTTTAACACCCTTGAGCGGTACCAAACCAACAAATAGGTATAGGCCCACATTATTTTGATACTCTTGGGTGAAGAGAGGCACTACACTGTCTTTCCCAAGAACAAAACTACACTGTGTGGCCAGGGCTTGCCGATCTAGACCTCACTCTCAATCCAGTGCACAAAACATTAGGCCACTAGTCTCCTTTCTAAATTTATTTAAATTTGCCATACTAAATATAAATGACACCCAACCTTGTCCCCAGGGCCATTTCCTGAGCGCACCCCTGCTCCCATTGGGGAAACGAGGGGAGGGGGGGGGGGGGGGGGATTTCTGGATATTGCTCACTGACTAAATTTTCTGGCCCGGCAAAACCCAGTTGGTCTTTTTCCTCAGATTCTTGTGCTAGCGGAAATGTAATAATTACGCAAATAGTTGTATAAACGGCTGAGCCAGGAGGGACCACTTTATTTGCCTTCTTGCACAAAAAAAAAAAAATAGGAAAAGAAACTCTGTACCAATATAAATGTCAGTTGACTCTTTTACTTTGTTACATAATTTTCAATGATCAAATTACATAAGAATTGGTAAATATACCTGGAATTTGTGCCAACCCCCACCCCCCATACCCCTCCCTTACCCTTCGACCCAGTTCCTACTCCTCTTCTTTCGACGGGAAAATGGAACGAGCAAAACAAAAATCGGGCAATCATTGCAAAATCGTCAAGGAGTCAAAACAGCGTGCTCTTTGAACTTTAGCGGGACAAAAATAACAACAGTATCTATTTCTTACGGTACCTCTGGGTTGTCAAATGCTTCTACATCGGTCAAAGTCGACAGCAACGGAAATCTGAAACCCTGCGGGGTTTTTTAAAGCACGTGAGTTTCTTCTTCGAGTTTTATACGACCCCCGTTGACTGCACAGTTTTCAGATTGGCCTAAAGATTTTTAAGTCTTATCTTTCATATTGTGATCGAACAAGCTCGTTTTCTGGCTTTCTGACGATAGCGTAAAGCTGTGAAGATTTCAAGGAAGGTGGTGGGAAGTGCAAAAAAATATGACAGGGAAAAAATATGTCAAGATTTGCAAGCTTTTTGTCGAGTGGATGAATTAAATGGAGGATAACAGCGATGGTGATGAAGCTGAACAGATATTTTATGATACAGTGAGAGAATACGTGGTGAGTATTAAGCTTAAAGTTTATATGAGCAAAAGACAGTTTAAATTATACTACGAGAAGCAACAAAATGGCAGAGCTAATCAACAGGGATGCCCGCATGTAATCGTTAATTAAAATATGAACACGATCAGTGTTGTGTTAAAATTTGTTTTTCAAACTTCATTGTGTACAAACTGTTGATACTAATTAGGGAAACGTTTTGTCATATATGCAGGCTTTTGTACATTTTTCCCTTGAAATTTCCTTGAGAATTATTGTAGGATTAGCTTGGATCACTTGTCTGTCTGGGATCACTTGAAAGTGACAAATATAAGGCTGCCTTTTACTGCATATATGAAACTTGATAGCCACGATATTGGCAATATAAATAATTCAACAGCTCTATTATGTTAAAATGGATTGATATGACTTGATCTTGACAA